GTCGCATGAAGGGTGCGCTGCATCCTGCTAAGGGTGTTCGGCATCTTGTGCTTACTCCCTTGCGTACGGATGAAAGCTGCGTATGAATAAATATACCTATTGGTGCTTTCACTTCCAGAGACAGATAGCATTGTGTAACTGCCTCGAGGGTGCTCGACCATTTTAACACAACGTGGTGCGATCATCCCCCTTGCGCGGGGTGAGGGTTCTCGACCCCGCACAACATAATCAACTCGACCACCATTATGGCTACCGCCCAAGAAAAACAGCGTAAAGACAAAAGCGGTGACCTGATTGCCGAGCTCACGAAGTGATCGGCTTGTTTTACAACATCGCTGCCAAGCGAGGAAAACCCAACCCCGATGGCAAACAACGGGGGGGGGGCGGCAAGCTTTACAACGTCGTTGACAAGCGACGAAAACCCAACCCCGATGAGGGGAGGGGGGGGGGGTTGGCCATAAGGCAACCCTCCTTGCAGATGGACAAGTTTCAACGGGAGAGAACCAAACTACTCCGCTATGGGGCAAGAGGATCGATCCATGGTTCCTTTTGTGGGGTATCCAGCAGCGGCGAAATAGGGTCGGTACAAGGTTCCTAACGGAACACCTTCTACAGTCACGTTCAAAAGTATTATCATTGTTGAAGCCTGGAAATTCGACACAGCTCCCCGCTCCTCAATCAAGTGGCGTCGCGTTCTGTATCGGTGTATCATATCTTGTCTATCCGAATGGTGGAGGAGATATATCGGTGCTGCGTTCTACTAGAGACGATATCCTCAAAAGAAATAGGGATGTCGTCGCCTACTAAGTATCATTTGGCGTAGTCAGTTGGATGTGGTGGCACCACGAGTGTGTGAGAGCGATAAAAAACTGGTAATGCTGTAGTCTAGTCTAAACCCATCCACACCCTGGCATATCTAACACGACGGCCTACATACATGGGATGATACCCCGTCGATTCACGCGGCCACAGTGGCATCCTCGCTAAACCCCAGTGCCAGCCCGCTCATACGAATCTAATAACTATTTGGTACATGCTTATTTTCAGATTCAGTCATAGGGACGCCGTGAGAAGCATGCACTATCGAACAGAATACATGTTCTGTCTGTGTGGAGTAATTGATGTGCGGCGAGCAATTGATCCCGAAGGAAGCATAACGTGTTGTTCTAGCGCCAGGCCAAACCTTTCGGTATTTTGTGTTTGGCGAGTCAGCCATGTTTCCATGTTTTTGTATCAAACCAAATACAGCAGTTCCGATGTGATTCCCATTCCCGTGGTAGCTGCAAGAGCTGTGTTGCTTTAGTTTTGGGCGATGGGCACCGCGCTCGGCGAGGATCCCCGATATCGCCTTGAAACACGCAAGCAGTACAGCAGCAGGATACACACATAGAGAACGTAGTAGACAACCAGCACAGCAGCATACGAGACTGTTTTAGGCCAAGGGGTAGCCGAAGGCACACATCATAGGAGGCGTTGTCTGCTGTGGTCAGCACAAGCGAGTGACGACGCAAGCCAATCTGCGGTCTGTCTTCATCTACACCTATCTACCCATCTTTGGAGCTTCCCACACAGACGCATCCCCACACAACAGAGACAAGGAGATGTACACACTGCTGTAGGCCAAAGCCGGCCAAAGACACAAATCATGGCAGGCGTCGGAAGCGATTACTAGAGCCTGAGGCCCACTGTAAGCAGAGTAAGCTAGGGGTATGCGAGTGTACACACGTCAAATTTGTCTGCGGTCTGTCTTCGTCTGCAGGGCGACCTTTGCTTCCACAAAAGGCGCACCCTCGAAACAGAGCCAAAAAAGTGAGACGTACACAACGCTGTAGGCCAACGGCGGCCAAAGACACACTTTGCAGGACGTAGGAGGCGCCGGGACCGATTTTTAGAGTCCGGTTGCTCGCTGCTACAGTAGCAGCGTTAGTGAGGAAAGCAAGTGCACATGAACAGCTGATGATGTACACAACGCTGTAGGCCAACGGCGGCCAAAGACGCACTTTGCAGGACGTAGGAGGCGCCGGGACCGATTTTTAGAGTCCGGTTGCTCGCTGCTACAGTAGCAGCGTTAGTGAGGAAAGCAAGTGCACATGAACAGCTGATGATGAGAGCATTTCCACACCAACAGCGATCTCATTCATGCCCGGGCTGCTACATAGTAGACATCTGCCTGGCGGTGGTGTCGGGTGAGGTGTGAGCGTGTGCAGTGGTGGCCTGTGTGAACGCGTAGGCCCCACACATACATATCTTCGCTTGCTTTGATGGCTCTCTCCGCCCCTTTTTTCGGGCTTCGCGCGAAATATGCTATGTTTTTCGTTAGACCTTCATGTAGCGGAGGGCCCCAGACTACGTACAATCTGTCGTTGAAATGAATTGGCCTGCGGACCCTTGTGCTCCATTTTTTTTAGTGCTGTGTACCTTTTGCAGGCAAAGTAGCCTGTGACCACGGGAATCGCTCGCTTGAGCGTTTCATCAGTGCGGGCAGATGAAGGTACTGGGTGGAGAGATCGGAACGGGTTCAATGTGAAGGCAACAACAACACATTGTGAGGAGGTGTGCCAGATTTTTGGGGAAACTGCTGCGTCTATGTTCGAACTGGTGCGAAATATTGGGCAGCAGGATAACGCCACGAAGTACTCAGTAAAAGTGAAACACTCTGAAGTGTATGGTAAGGTAGCAATGGCCTTTGCTCGAACGGTGAAACAGTGGACGGCGTAAGTCTTGGCTCAACATAGGTGTTGCCTACAGGCGGGCGGCACTGCTGCCCGCAGCAGTGAATATCTACATGGTGGGATCATGTGCTGGCTCGCTTGCTCCGGATCACAAATTTGGATCATGTTCCCGCCCAGCATCTCCGCAGTTCAGGAACAGAAGGCGTGGTACACGTAAGACCCACACAGCTAGAGAGACACAAGGTGCCAGCACTGCTGTAGAAGGAACGCACATTCCAATAACCCACCGCAAGCAAACAAAGACAAGAGCAACACATGGCCTCACGCCAAAGGTGCTGTCAACAAGCTCCAAGGGCCTCCTCTGTTGCTTGCCTGAGCATAGAAGCAGTCGATGTCGAAGTGCACGATGCATCGATCGTGATTTAGGGAGTACTCCGGGGGCAGCCCTTGCTCTGCTCCTCCTATTGGGGGCATCTCGCCGATTCGCCAGTCCTTTCCCACTACTACAAGCTCCCTCTATCTTTCGTACCCATCGCGGGCATTGCTAGGTTTGTTGGCGTTCCGTTGTTGTTGCGTGTGCAAACGTGTAGTCGCGTTGTCGTTGTTGTGTGCGGGTCGGGCGCGGGGAGTGGTCTGCATAGGGGGGGCGGGACTGTACAAACTCTGTCCAATCACCTACCTCCTCTCCCTTCGTGCGCGCCTGCCGCCTACACAGTACCGCCCCCTGCCCTGAGGTGTCTTGCCCCGTCGGCGGCCGTAGCATAGGTGTGCTGCTATTCCGCTACTACGGAGGGAGAGCATCTTCCAGCTCTCTAGATCACCGCCAGATTTGTACAGCTTGCGTGCTTCGTGTGTTCAGCAAAGTAGTCTTGCAGGTTTGGGGGTCAAGCGACGAGCATAATGGCAACGGCGTCATCTTCGTGGCTACCGTCTCTGACTACCAACGCTTTGGCGTTCGGCGCTGCGAGCTTTGCGTCTTCGGTGCTGTGCACGCTCTTTTCGCTATACGTGACTCCTGTCTTCACCAGTGTTTACAAGGCAAGTGCTGTGTAAAGGGAGGTATACGTAGAAAGAGACTCAGCACGAAACGCGGGGCTGGGGAGGGGAGGATGCACATGACATGCAAGGAGGACCGGGTCCCCAAGGCTCCCCATGTTGATGGCCACCCCATGTTGATTGCCTGGCCTGCCTGCTGTAGGTGCATGTGAGTGATGCTGGCGCTCCTCCTGTTGTTTCTGCTATGACCTCCACAACGAGACTTGCTGGCGACTCTTCGGTGGTTGTGATTTCGATACTACACATAGATCTACATGTGCGCAAACGCACGGTACGGTAACAATCGTGGTTTTGGATCATCCTGCTTTGTCTGCTGTCTGCGGCGCGACCGAACCTGCGGGGGCCGTCTTTTTTTTCTTATTGTCTTCAAATGAGCGCTCATAGCACTTGAATTGTGCCGTTTAGTCCAACCCGTGGTCTCACAGGAGGGTTCCTCTCCCTGAGGCTTCGTACCCACCCCTCCTGCGGTACTTTCCTTAAATCGTTAATGCGAGAAAGAGTGCAGCTCTCTCTCCCCTCTGTGTAGACACGAACTGCTACGTGTAAATAGCTCTTTCTACCCAGGCCAGAAACGGAACCGAGAAAAGAACTCACTTGGCAAGAAAAGCTCGCTTACGCCGGGATTCGAATCCCTGACCCTGACCACTAGATCTTTTTCGAGGTACCAAGTAGTCTACCGGGGCGACCGGCATGCCACCTGTTTATTGGCGTCTCTGCCGATTTCCTCGTTAGCCGATGCCGCCTTTAGCCGATGCCGCCCTTGCTTTTTAAAAGCACCATGTGGACATGTTTTCGTATCGTGTACATGTTTGGTTAGCCAATCTCATGCCCGGATGCTGAACGAAGAAGGTTTGGCCACTCCTGCTAAACCGTCGGCAGATCGACGACAGGCATTTCTACGCCAGCCACGTCGTCTTCGCCATCTGGAATGCCATCAACGACCCTGCCTTCGCGTGGCTCATCGACAACACCACCGCTTCAGGCGGAGACCGCAGGTAGATCCCCCCTCCCCCCTCCCCGGCCTCGCCTTCACCACAACGATGCCCGCCCCGAGCACATGTATTCGTTCGTGGACCTTCCTTGTCACAATCGGAGAACCGTGTACCACCTTGTGTGGTGTGTTCCAGCTCTTTGCCAGGCATTCACTCCCCCCCATGCCCGCACAGCACACCGGCCTTTCCCTTTTCCGCCGCTTTTCTTTGCCTGTAGATACACCATTAGGCAGGAAGGCAATGTGTAAGGTAGTTGCTTCCAGAGGACAGGACAACTTTTATCTTACTGTGGTCGAGACGAGTTGTACGGTTTTGCCGCCGTTTGTCGACTGATGGGCGGACGTTAACAACCGCGAGCAGGCACAACGAAAACAACAACCAGTAGCGAATAGGGCTTTTTTTGGCGAACAATCTCATCCGTGCATGTACGGTTGTCCGTGCGTCAGGTTGCCGGCCATCAAGTACGGAGGCCCGCTGTGGTGCCTGGCCTTTCTCATCCCGTGGTGGCCTTGGTCTTCCGAGCCGGGCTCTTTCCTCGTCGGCTTGCACTTTTGCGTCTCCATCTGCATGTTCGACAGCTTCCTGACCTACGTGAGTGCTTGCTCCTGTGTGGCGAGTCGCCTCGCATGGTAGTCGTTGACGTTTCTGCCTCGCTCGCCTTGACGTCCCGCTGAAGATACATGTCTCTCCCCAGTGCGCGGGCTTGCGTAGTTCGCCCAGGGACAACACCCCCCTACATTTCAGCGAAATGTTCGGCACGACGTGGTGGGGGGCTACGCAGTATCGTCGGCAGCATCTCAGGGGATTCTTGTGGTGTACGTTTCCCGCCAGTGTTTCAGAATTTAGTGGAAAGGGGTATCCGTTGTTGGGACGGTGACATCGCTCGATGTATCGGAATCTCTGGTCAAGGTTCGATGCATGCCGCGCTCTGATGTTTCAGGTGGAAGCAGTCGTCACATCCGCAGTGAACATGCTTGCTGTGCATTTGTTTTTTGTCAATGAAGGGAAGTAGCACCGACGATGTGGGCTGCTTGTTGAGGTCACACCCAGCTTCATGTTCCCTGTCTTTGTGATAGCGTCTGTGCTGTCAACTTTTCTATCGCCAATGGCGGCGTTATTTACCCGATGGATGCGGATACCACGATCGCGGATTCGATCAATCCCGTCTCAAAGGGCTGCCATCGGCCTTGGCAAGATATCTGTCTCCGTCGAGCCTTTTCGTCGGCCGCTCTAACCGTACCGCGTAACCGACAACAATGACAGGTGCTTCTGGTGCATTGCGCCCTTCTAGCTGACCTCACTACCGACAACACCTTGCGGAACAACTACAACAAGTGAGTTTGGCCGCCCTGAGCACCGTTTCAATCCAGAATGTTTGCGTGTCATGGAACATCGCTTCGGCAGTACAAGGAAGCGCGATACTCCGCTATATTCCGCGCACATCTGAGACATTTTAACGAGATTAGACCAAACCGTTAGCCATTCTCCACGAATGTTTTCCGGCACTTTTGCCTCTCCTGTGGTATAATGAAGAGACTTTCGTTTAGAGCCTGAGGATCTCGTCCCGGTCTTTCGTTATATACTTTGGCTTATCTCCATCGTAACATCGTGTACGCGTGTGGTGTAGTGGTAACATAAGTGCCTTCCAAGCACTTGCCCGGAGTTCGATTCTCCGTACGCGTATTTTTCTTCTTTGTCTCCTTTTCATTCTTTTTCCCGGTGGGGCCCTAGTGGCCGATCGCCTTTGCCTCCGCACAGCAGGCAAAGGTGAATTGTTATTGCCCCATCCACAACATAATCGACTTCGTAGGTCGCGAGGGAAGAGATTGCCGTACCCTTCTCGCGATAAAAATATCTCAGGCAGGAACCGCAGGAGGGGGTCCAACCCCGCCTCCTGTGTGACCCCGGTTGGGTCGTCTAGCTAGTAGAAGTGGAGGATAGGGGCCAGAGGGGCAGACGACAGAGTCCAATGATGGGAGAAAAAAAAAAAAAAACTTTCCGTGTGACATAGCAATACCAGGTTGCATACTAGCTCGATTGGGATTAACTACATCTTGTTAATCCCCTCCCCGGGCTGACGCCCCGCACCTTACCCACAGGCATCCTTGCAGACGCCTTATTTACTTTCCCACCAGGTTACCGCTGTCATATGTATGCCCCTTCTGCGTCCAGTTGCCTGCTAGCCCTACCGAGCCATTCTGCGGACCTTGGCAATTCTGCTGTTATTGCAACTGTTGTAATGGATTTTTTTTCTTGGTCATCCCCACACACAACATACAGATCGCTTTGGGCCCGTCCAACTACATTTTCACCTGGCTTCGGATCTCAACCTTGCCTGTATTTCCCTGCCATTTTTCTCCGTTGGCAGCGTTGGCAGCCTGCTGGGCGTCGCGGGCGGTGCGGCAGGCGCGGTCTCGTACTTCCTTTACGACGGCAAGGACATGGCCCCCTTCCGGTCCTTCTGCCTCGGGGCAGCGGCCGCCTCGTGCCTCGGCTTCTGGTGGACTGGAACACGGCTGGACGTGGGAAGACTAGACACGTTCAGGAGAGAGGTGAGAGAAGCTTGGGCCTGTGTTTGGGGCGAGGGTTGGTGTTTGGATGGCTGGTCCTGGTGGTGTCGGTCTGATTTTTGTGGATAATGTTGTTCTGCAAGGTGCGATTGTTTGTGGCTGTTGAGTTTTTCTTTTTCTTTTATGCTGTAGATATTGCCGCTGATGCTGTGGTCGTCGTTGTTGTAGTTGTTGTTGCTGCTGCTGCTACTGCTGCTTCTGGCGGTGCTGCTTCTGGCGGTGCTGCTGCTACTGCTGCTTCTGCCGGTGCTTCTTTCAGACGCACCAGCACGAAGAGAGTCCCAAACGACCTGGCCTGAACCACTTCGGCTCATGTTTCGTAAACAAATACAACTAACTCCCAGCCTCTTCGCAACCAATCCCACTATCACTGCCGTTATCGGCGCGCCCAGGTCCCAGAACAAGACCCGCTGCTCGAATCCACCCCCCCGGCCTCCATCACACACACGGCGCCGCTCGACGGTGCAACCAAACCCAACTCCCGGAATAACCAAGGCGCCGCCGTCGGCATGCGTTCTCGAACTCCTACGAGGGACAGCGGTCCCGCTGGTTCCGGCGGGGGCGAGGGAGAGGCAGCAGCGGTAGCAGCGGGGAGGGGGGTTTCGCTGATGGGAAACGCTCCGTTGTCACCGAAGACGACCGCGGGGGGCGCCGGGGCTAGGGGCGGGCGGGAGCTGTCGTTTTGGGGGTTCACGAAGCAGCTCTCTTCCCACGGGAATTTCTGGCTGTACGTGCCCAGTTCCGTACGTTCTTTGTAGACAGTTATGGTTTTCTGGAGTTCTGGTATACTTCGGGTGGCCTTGCGTGCTTGCGCGGTGCGGTCTTGTCCTGCTACAACCTTCGCTCCAATTCTGCACCCGTCAGCTCTTGCGCTCTTTTCACGTATCCCGGGCCGAGCTGCACAGTTCTCATGCCGTACACGACGTGGGCAGCGCCCCGCCTGCTCCCTTTTCAACCTTCTCCGTTCTCTCGAGGACTCGTGGTCAATGTTCTAACGGCAAAGGCATCGCCCCCCCCCCCCCCCCCCCCCCCCCCCCCCCCCCCCCCCCCCCCCCCCCCCCCCCCCCCCCCCCCCCCCCCCCCCCCCCCCCCNCGATGAACTTCATGGAGAACTTCAACGCCCTCTTCGACCAGTCCTTCTTCGTCTTCCTTGACACGAAGCTCTTCGAGATGGTCGTGCCGAGGGGGCCACACGGGGTCCTCACCGCCCTCTGCCTCTACGCCCCGAAGGTGCGGAATACGGCGTTGACCCGCATCGTACTAGCGGAGCACTAAATTCGAACATCCCTCTCAAGAATCATTCCTGTCTTGGAAAATATCAATTGGCCAATCTTGTATGTGTTTGTTGTTAACATCGACCGCGTCACCCGGCTCACCGATGAAATGACGTCAGTCTCAGTCCGTGTAATAACGGGAAAGGCTTGTAGACGTCATGATCTGGGACCCCAGGGGTCACGTGGGAGGATAGGCTAGGCTTTCCTCGGCACTGAAGGCGGGAAAGATTCGATCCGATAGCTAGCGTTTCACTAAGCCTCGCCACCGTTTACAGTGGCGTCCGTTTGTTCCCCTATTGATCCCTTTTTTCGCACTTGGAAGCAACCCATCTCTGGCGTCTCTACCATCTCCCCCGACCGATTGGTGTGATACATATTTCCTTGTTGAATGTCGCGATTTTTTCCTGGCTACACTTCCTGCCCGCCGACACCTTGCAACTGCGCTTCACCGCCCTTGATGCACATAAAAGGCGCACCCCATGGCAACGAACTGATTGGGTCGCCACGCAGAAAACTCCTTCCCTCGGTTTGCCGGCGTCAAGCTAAGCCTTCGCGCCTAACAGATCACCCCTGCGGGCCACCCTGGCACATCACGCAGAACGATCACCTAGGCAGATCAACATTTTTTCTGAACTCAAAACTCCCGGCCCCCAACTCCGCTCTCTATCGTGCTCCCCCCCGGCTTGGGCAATGGTCTAACAAAGAAGGTATGCAAAACATGAGCACGCTCCCCCCCCCCCCCCCCCCCCCCCCCCCCCCCCCCCCCCCCCCCCCCCCCCCCCC